AACTCTATGTTCTATTAGTAAGTGACAAAAAATTGGCATGCAAAGTTCAGTCTTACAGACTCTCTCCCTCTTCATAAACATAGCTTGATGCCACAGCAAGCAGATGCTCGTCCGTACTGAATGACAGAGCAGCAATGTTTGACATGTACTTTGAGTACTGCGATCAAAGCATAAGATCATGAACACCCAGAACACTTTAGATAATCATACTCCCAAAGCAAAATTGCCCCCCCCCCCAGTCACCTGTAACAATCTCTTCTTGTTTGTGCTATCCCACCATGAATCCCATCATGGCCTCCGGTGGCAATTGTAGAGCATCTGCAGACAATACATAACAATTCAAGAAACTGAGAACAGATAAACCTATCAGAGATCAGCAAGAAAATTAAACACTGAAACTTTACATTGGCTGGAATGTAGCGGCATTGACAGGATAAGGCATTACATAAGTTTTACTCCATTGTATGAAGAATAAGTCCATTCCAACTTTGTACCTCCATGAATCAGCCATGCTTGGTACTACATCAACATATTGTCATCGGTTGTCGATCTTCCGCATCTACACACTGGGAAAATAAAGAAAATTTCTTCAAAAGTGTTCAACTGAAATATAAGCAGATATACAATGTGGGGATTTCCCCCAGCCCTGGCCCCAAAATAGATTAAAATGCATGGGTGCTTAAATTGTTTGGAATGGATGTCAAGGGTATATGTACTATGAAAAGCAGGGGGTATTTTCTTTTAGTAATTTGAACAAACAAGCAAGGTGCATCTTTTGTATCACATATAAATGCAACCATCGGCACAAAAAGTTGTTAAGAGTGGGGATCAAAAGATCCATGAAAAGAATCTGGCGTTTTCTGCAATCATCTGCTTCAATTTATAGGTATAAGTACTTCAAATTCCTTAAATGGTTGGGAGACATATGAAATCTAGATTATAGTACTATTTCAGTTACTGGATGGTTCTTTTCAATGTTATGTGTTCATTGCTGTATGTTACAGTAAAATCTATCTTGTACCATAGCACCCATAAATATAAGTACAAATAGCAATGAACAATGATTTCTCAGGCTAAAAAATGTCTGCTATGTCATTCAAGAGCAATAAATATGCCCACTGAAGACTGGTAGAAAACAGTAACCTTACTTTGAACAATGTATCTGACAATAACAACTCTCTTATCTTTTTACATGTTTTAAAAGTCTGCATATTTTCTTGGAATGATTTCAGTAACATAATGGAATGGCTCAGTATATGCTCTTACAAGCTACCATAAGGCATGTTTCAGACTGGTAGTGTATACTATATTGTTGACTCTGAGATTGGATTTTGTGTTAACTATAGAATCTTGAAAAAAGAAATAGTGGGATGATTAGATATAACAAGATTTAAAATAAAAAATAAATGATGAATAGCAAAAGAACATTTTTTAATCAAGGGCTAGAAGTCGCTGCACACTTATAAAAAAAGCTAATTTCATATCAGCTCCGTCTCGATTCAGTGCCACTTTAGAATCAGAAGAAATTTAGAGAGCCATATCATATTTTTTGTTTGTCTAATGCCAAATTTTAATCATGCACTATGAAGGCACAAAGTTGAGGCGTCCAATAGATTTCTGAATTTAATTAGTGTGACTACTTGTTGGAAAATCATCATCATATGACAAAACAAATACCCCAATATGTTCCCATCATATCACACAACCAAGATATGCAATCAACCATGAGGTTGCAATTGAATGTAAGAACAAAGGATTACAGTCGGTTGGGTGGGTTGTGGTCACGTGATGAGGACAGTGAGCTCGGCAGCATCAACGCCGTTAGTTACCTACTCCTTCGTGGATGCTGACCAAAACACACTGGTGCCCGACTTGCCGGAGATGAGCGACAACATACCCATCTGGTCCTCGATCGACTCCCTAACCGAAACTGGTTCATGTCAGAAACCGGTTCCCTAATTTTCTGATGCTCCATCCACTGTAAATCTCGAGACTCGTGGTAAAGATATATCTGTAGCACAACAAATAGCTATGAAACTTGATAGAGGTTTACCAGGGGACAAATGGGCAATGTCTTTAGTTCTCTTGGCAGCATGAATATTCTTCGAATACATATGTCTGTTTTGGGTGCTTGCATCGTGGCTCCACCAATAGACACCCTACGGTTTACACCACCCATGAGTGTCTAGGCGCCTTCTTTATACTTTGAGGCTTGGATGGACTTGGTTTTGAACCGTAGAGAGTTGAACACCGACCGTCCTTCTGCCCACCCCTCTGCCTTAGGGTGGATGCCCACTGCCCCTCCATCCCTAGCCGATGAGAGACAGCGGAGATGAGGAGAAGCTGAGATGGGACGAAGGCGGTTTGAAGTCCTCCTTTAAAATTGTAAAGAAAAAGGACAGCCAAAAGTCAAATTACCCGCACTTTACCAAATTTGGCAAAATGCTCTTTGAAGTTCTCCCTTAAAACTGTTTCTTTATGAAGCTTGTATGAAGCAGAATCTACATGATTCTATTCTGCAAGAGACACAACTCTTAAGAAAAATATAAAATAGGAACTTGAGAGGTCATCAAGCAAGAAATAAGAAAATAATGGCTACAATGCAGCAAAAATAGCATCAAGACCAGGTGCAAGTTCACACGCCCTTATGATGATCTGGTATAGTTCCTAGAGCTGAAATTAGGGAGGAAATTGTAGTAACATTAAACCTAAGCATGCTTACCAATGAGGCGTTGATACAAACTGGATTCCGTCCTGGGCAGGGCATCTCACTCTTCCAATAAGAAACATAAAACCGACCTACAATAGCATATCCGCATAGTCAGGGTAAGACCGGAATCCAAATGCAAGAGGATCAGCACATAAATTTATGCCCAAAAACAAACATGTCATCATTCTATTGTTAGTATCAACTATGTACAGATTATTATACAAGATCTCCATTGCCCTGAACATTAGTACAAGAGCCCAAAAGAAAACCTATAAACTAATATTTCCAAAATAAACAGAAGAAGCTACTCGTGTGCATCATATCCCACAATTAATCTATGATGCTAGCAAAGCTGTACAAAAACAGCTGGATACGCACAGGGTACAACCACAACATGGCTTGGGCATGCAGTGACCTAACCTACTTTAGCTAGTAGTTATGATGTTGCATAGTGTTAAGTGCAGACTTCATCTGAATAGCCTTGCTTGTTTAGTGTTCCTAATTACTGTGCAGACTTTAATCCTAATTTAACCGACCTCATCTGGGTCTCAAATCAAAGAGCAGCAGCTTTCTTTGCTTCAGCCTTCCGCCCTAAAATATCAAGCGCCCATTCAACCTGCAGGTTGCAGTTTCAAGTAATCACAAGGCAAACAAGCACAAGAAAGTAGCCTGAACCCTGCAAGCTAATTGTTTTCCTCACTTCTGAACCCACACTATCTTGGAAAATGTTCCGCATCACCAGTGCAGGCATATCAAACAAACCAGTCCAACTTCTAAGCATAAACAAATTCAGTTTTTCGTTGCTCCCCCCAGACTATACTGCCTTAATATCGACAGGGTTGCATAAACTAAGAAACGCAGAGACAAGATAGCAATGTGCAGTGTCAATACCTCTCGTCTTTGAGGTTGCCGTCAACGCCTCCGTCATCCCCGAGGTCCTCCTTCGGCGTTCCACTTGCTTCAAGCTCTGAAAACAACACAGACACCACAACACAAAACACACAGAGGAAACACAACATTAAACGGTCTCCATAAATACCATATACACATCGAATCCGATCCGACGGCAGCAGAAAGATTTGAAACCCACTCACTGTGTCGTGGTCGACCAGGAGTCCAGGAAGGCTTCCTTGAGCTGGCTTTGGCACGTGAGTGAATCCTGAACCAGAGAAACACTGAAGAAATAGATAGATTAGAATATAACAAATACACGTGACTTGCAGAATTTGTCTGTTGGAGTGAGAACACAGCTTAAAGTTGCAGTCTCACTTACAGATAATTGCTAGGCATGGCCAGACTATAACTAATCATCGACACACTCTTAGGTGTTGCCTCTTCATGTCTATAGAGTAGCACTATTCTAATCCCAGGATTAGAATAACTATTTGGATCACGGAGCGCCCTATATAGGGCCCGAAGAGGCGTTCCCAAACTCCTGAGAAAACCCACCCGACCGGTCAAAGAAAAAAACCCACCCCACCCACTTCCCACGACTCCCTCCACTACCCTCTCTCGATCCCATCTGCACACTCCTCACGGCATCGCGCCGACGCCGATGAACTTCTCCCGATCCACCACCGCCGCCCTACATCCCGCCGACGCGCCTAACTCCGGCCACCTACTGCCGCCGCCGACAAACGGATCCAGCGCCGCTCCAGGTTCGGCCGCCCCTTCTTCCCCAGCACGCTCCCGCCACCAGAGCGCCCCCTGGACCATGGGTCCCGCCGCCGGTCTCCTCCTACAACCCCGCCACCACCATCCCTCGGATCCAGCTGCAACTCCGCCACACGCCTCGGATCCGGCTGCGGCGCCGCCACCGTCTCCCGGATCCAGCTGCAACTCCGCCACACGCCTCGGATCCGGCTGCGGCGCCGCCCCCCACCGCAGGATCCAGCCGCCGCCCCAACCGCGAGATCCGTTCGCCGCCCCCATCCAGCCACCGCGATCTCACCGTCCATCGCCCGGTGGTGCAGTGCGGTGCGCCCTTCCCTCCCGTCTGGCGTGAACTTCCCTCTATGCCACCTCGACCTTCCCTCCCCTTCAGTGCAGCCTGCCCTCTGCTCCGGCGCGCCCTCCTACTCCTCCTTCATGTGCGGCATGAACCTGGCCTTCAACCGCGAGCTCATCGGCCCGCCCATATACTTCGGCCTCATGGGCGACGGCCAGCCCATCGGACGCTACGACGACATGTGGCCGACTGGTGTGTCAAGGTAACTATAACTAAACTAAACACACACATCGTCTTTGAGTTTGGTCCGGCTGTACTGAACTTTTACTAAATAATTTTTGTATGTGTGCAGGTGATCTGCGACCACCTTGGGCTAGGAGTCAAGACGGGGCTGCCCTACATCTGGCACAGCAAGGCCAGCAACCCGTTCGTGAACTTGAAGGAGTACAAGGGCATCTTCTGGCAGGAGGACATCATCCCCTTCTTCTAGGTCGCGAAGCTGACAAGGAATGCGACACCGAGCAGAAGTGCTACATCTCGCTCTCGCAACAGGTCAAGGAGAAGCTCAGCAAGATCGACCCCTACTTCATCAAGCTCGCCGACACCATGGTCATCTGGATCGAGGCCCGGGACATGCTCAACTCCAAGGACTCCAAGGAGGCCCACGCCAACGGCAAGCTCAAGGGGAAGTAGATCGAGATCGAGGGAGAGAACCTTTTTTTGCATTAGCATACTGAGCAGGCAGTGAGGCGGCGTATACCGGTTTCTTCAGTTCGTAGGTTCAATGCGTGCATCAGGTATTCAGGTTCAGGCTGTTGTGTACTACAAAACATTAGTTGCCTGTATGTGAGAAAACCATGATGTTTCTTATTTTGTTTATGTGAGAAAACAAAAATGTATTTTAGAAGTTCATTTATTATTTCCCAAAAGTTCATATATTACTACCTGTATGTATTTTGACATTTCACAACAACTGACAAGAATTGCGGCTGGATAGAGCGGCAAAACGATGGTACGCCACTCAAGCAGTGCATCACCGGCAGCCGCGTCGTCTCCTCGGCAGCAAAAAACAGCTTAACTGAAGTTCAATTCGTATGCTACTAGTAGGTCAACTACAACAGCAGCAGAGTTCTTAGTGTCTTCTTCCTAATTTCCCCATGTGAAATTCTATAAAAAGGAAGGAATAGTCTCCTTCTGGCTCAGCCATCGGTGATCCCGTTCGTGCTTCTCCTAAAGACCAAGTCGAACTTCACCAAAAACTAGAAAAAAGATGAGCACGTTCGTGCTTCTGCTGCAGACCAAGTCGAACTTCACCAAAAACTAGAAAAAGATGAGCACGTTCATGCTTCTCCTGCAGACCAAGTCGAACTTCACCAAAAACTAGAAAAAAGATGAGCACAGATGCCTGTCGATGTCCGTTGTGTTATCCTGCTGCCAAGCAATTCAAAAGGAGCAGGTGGTTTCGTTTGCCTAAAGTACAAACATAAAAACATTCAGTTTTGATTCTCTGTAGTTATTCCTTCTAACTCGAGGGAGCACTGACCATCCAAATATGTGCTCTTATACCTTTTTCTGTTCAAAGTGTGGTGAGGAATGAGAGGTACAGTATGTCTTTTTTTATATTAAAAATGTTCGTACAGCAACAAGCAGGAAACAATTGAAACTATGTCCTTCTTTTGTTTGATTGTTTCTGTATTTGGCTTATGGAAAAATTTACTTGAGTTCCATCTAGAAAATTTTGAAAATTTCAAATTGTAAAAAAGTTAAAACTTCAAATAGTTAAAAAAAATCATATTTCCATGTTTCTAAAAAAATAAACAAAGACATTGTAATAAAAAAAGAGTTTGATGTTCACGCGCGAGGCCCGGCCGCGGCGTCATCCTGCTCCGCCGCCGCGGTCGTGGAAGATGACCATACTATTGTGTGTAATGCCTGCACATAGTGTACCAGCACATAGTGTTGTGTGTAATACGAATTGGTGTTGTACTGTGCATGTATATTCTTGTGTAATTTTTTGCTTTTCGAACATGAAGTTCATGTTTTAGAAAAAACTAAGTTCAAAGGTATTACATAACAAAAACTTTCATCCAAAAAAACCCAAAGGTCATTAGAAAAAGCATCTCAAACAATTTTGTAAAAAAGATTTCTCTGTTAAAATAAACCTAGAAGTTTAAATTTAAAAATGGAGTGGTTCGATGTCTATCAGAAAGTAGGATTTTTTCCATTACTAAAATAAATAAACTAGGAAGTCCATATTAAAAAGATGGAGAAGTTCAATGATTATAGGAAACTCGGATTTTCCTCGTTAGTAAAGAATGGAAACAAGAAGTTCAAAAATAAAATAACAAGAATTTCAACTTTAAAAAATAGAGCGCTTCAAAATTTCATAAGAAAGATTAAGAAAAAAACCAGGAAGTCCATATTAAAAAGACGGAGAAGTTCGATGATTATAGAAAAATCTCATATTTCCCTCGTTATTAAAGAATGGAAACAATAAGTTCAAAAATAAAATAACAAGAAGTTCAAAAATAAATTAACAAGAAGTCCAACTTTTAAAAAATAGAGCGCTTCAAAATTTCATAAAAAAGGATTAAGAAATAAAACCAGGAAGTCCATATTAAAAAGATGGAGAAGTTCGATGATTATAGAAAACTCAGATTTTCCTCGTTATTAAAGAATGGAAATAAGAAGTTCAAAAATAAAATAACAAGAATTTCAACTATTAAAAATAAAGCGCTTCAAAATTTATAAAAAATTAAGAAAAAATAAGATTAAAAATTTATAAAAAAACTCAAATATTTTCATGTAACCGAGAGAAGTTCAGGTTGATAACTGCTAGAAGTTCATGTAATACACGGCGTGCATTTTGTATTAAAAAGGAACAAAAAAGAAAAGGCAAAAAGTTTTGTTGTTATAAGTTCAAGTCCTTCGTCGAAGAAAGTCAAATAATTTATTGTGAGAGAGATTTGTACAAAAGGAAATAACATTTGTGTAACACTGACGAATGGATGAGAAAATTACAAACGAAAATACGTCACAGAAGTTCAACTGAAAACAGCAGGAAGTTCACCTACTACACTGAATGAATTTCAGATGAAAAACTTTTAAAATCGTCGCGAGAATGAAAAAACGATCAACACGGGAAAGTTAAGTGCTTACAGCAGCTTTCCACCGGTATATCACTTGCTCAATTCCGGTGAGTGGATGGAAAGCTACGAGCAGTGGATGGAGACCTACGAGCAAAAAAATCACATGAAAAATAGAGTGAAGTTCAGGTACACGCGCCGAGAAGTTCAGGTTCTTCACGTGGTGCATTTTCGAAGAATCTGTTTCGTGATAAAGGTAGAACGCATGATCCCGCCGTTTTCGAAATTACTTGAAAACGGCTAGGAATCAGAGAAAACCATCAACACAAAAAAGTTTCGCATTTTTCGTAGCTTTTCAGCGGTATATTATTTGCCCCATTCCGATAAAGTTTGTAGAAATTATGGCAAAAATACGTTTTTAACCATTTTCAAAACTGACATAAAACCGTAGTAAATTACGAGAAACAATATATACAGAAAAGTTTCGCATTTCTTCAAGCTTTCCAACGCCATATCATTTGCTGCATTTGGACGCACGGTTAAAAAATTAGCTCAAAAATACGAACTTGATGGAACTTGTACCATTTTCTAAATTACTTTTAAACCATTGAAAATTAGAAAAAACTTTTAACATAAAAAAGTAGCGCATTTTCATAAGCTTTCCAACGCCATATTATTTGCCTCAATTGGATTAGCCGTTTAGAAATGGCGTCAAAAATACGAACTCGGGTGTTCGGTTTATGAAATTTTACGATTTTCCGAATTACTCTTTAACCGTAGGGAATTAGAGAAAACTTCCAACATGTGGAAGGAGCGGTTTTGCAGCAGCCTTCCAACGCCATATTATTTGCCTCATTTCGATAAACGGTTTAAAAATGCAATCGAAAATATGATTCACGTTTTTTGTATGAAGAAAAAACGGTTTTCAAAACTGCTCTTAAACCGCTTACATTTTGCCAAATTTTTTACTTGGGTCACGATACTGATGTCCATAGCTATCCAACGGTATATCGCAAGCCCCATTTGGACACCTTTTAGCTAAAGTTCAACCTAGTACTCGGGGAAGGTCAGGCGCGTTACTCGGGAAGTTCATGTTGTGATCAGAATATTATTCTGATTCCGTGATCAGAATAGTGTTTATGTATATATATATATATATATATATATATATATATATATATATATATATATATATATATATATGTTCACTAGCAGCAGAGGGTGCTATCGGAACCCTTCATTTGCATCAAGATCCGAACTTCTAGTTGGATAAGGTTCTGAATTATTACATTATTGGAGTTCACATTTATAGAAGAGGAAAGCATGTGGGGGGGCTTTAGTGGGCTATGGATGGAAATGGCAAGCTATAGTCTATAATGGCAGATTTATAAGTGGAATGGGGGCAGTTGCTTTCCGGCATTGTTCAGCTAGCATGCCCTATTTAGAGAAGGCCTATGGTGTAGGTTTTGTTGCTTAGCTAGCAGTGAAAGGTTCCATACATCTCGGTTTATTTTTAGTAAGTTTTACGCCCAAAGGGTTCGACACCTTTTGCATTATATGAATGCATCAGGCATTGGATGTTTGCAAACGTTCCTTCCATTACGGGCAATAAACTCAGTCATAATCTACATGCATTACATTACATGAAAAACTAGGAGTTTGAGCCTAAAAGTAATCATCTAATGCAACAAAAATGATATCTCTAATAAATCTAGGGCATTTTGGACAAGTAAACCTGCCAGCTTCAAATTGCATTACACACCATGGTTTCTTTGTTCATTTAGTATGAAAAGTGCAAGCAGTCCTGCCGCATATAATGGAACCCAACGTATTGATAGTTAACATGCATTCATTCAATCCGTCTATTGACGCACTGGCATCTAATAAATCTAATCTGCGGGAGGTTATTGTGCTATGTGAACGCGTTATAAGAAGAGTGCGGCGTTTCGGTGCCCATGCTCATCTGCACCCGTTCAGGAAACAAAATAAAAAAGAATACTAAAAAAATTTAAAAAATTCCAATTTTTTTGGTGTGGTAGGTAATTTGATGCGTCAGGTTCGCTATAATTTTTAGATCATTTGGACATCTGAGCTGCTCTAAGCTAAATAGACAAATCGGGTCAGAACAGTGCATGAACAGTTAACATTTTTACGGACCCCGAATTTGTCTTTTTTGTCAAGAGCTGCCCAGATGTTCAAATGATTTGAAAATTGGAGTGAACCTCATGCAGCAAATTATCTATCACCCAAAAAAATTGGATTTTTTTGAATCTTTTTAGTATTTCTTTTGAATTTTTTCGTCAGCGCAGGTGCGGCTGAGCCTGGGCTCAGAAGTGGATTACCGAAAACTTCTTCTCTGTATATATAGCTTGCATCTTTCACACAAAGTTTTAGTACCTTCAGTGCAATGGTTTGGAGCTGGCTGTAGGTGCCTCGTGATGTACCAGGCCAAGTAAATATTATCTTTATTGTGCTCCTTGATTACTCCCTCCAGTCCTTTTTATTCTGCATATAAAAATTGTCTGAAGTTAAACTTTACAAAGTTTGACCATATTTATATGAAAAAATATCAACATCTACCATGATAAAGTTATACAACATGAAACT